AGATTCTTCTTCAAAAAGTGGAAGGGTGTAAAATGAAAAGTCACTGCCTGGAAAGACATCATTCATGGCTGCCGACTGCCATTAAACATGTATAGTGTGGCAGTAAGTCAATATCACATTTGAGTTAAAAAGGTCTGCTATTCATCATGTTACAGAGACTCCAATAAAGCATGTGCCCATTGAGCACCTCTTTAGTTCACAATTCAGGGGCTCAACAGCTGAAAGGGGACTTGTTGGAAATGGCTCCTGCTGTTGATATCTGATATTTGAAATGCAGCGCCTAACTCTCTATCTTTCACCTCCCATCATGTTCAAAGCATGCTAAAGCCTCAGCCCTTCAACTATGAATTAGTTCTTCGCAGTCTATAAGAAAAGGAACCAAGTGAATGAGAGATCCCTGGTGAACACCGGGCCATAAATTTGCTCAGCATCGCTTAAAGAGCTGCCACATTCCAGTGCAAGCTGGCAGGCAGAACTCAGGGTACGCGGCCAAACAAATTCAGGTTTGAAATTCCTTCACATAGAAAGTGAAGTTCAGCACCAAGCTACGGTACACATACTGTTTTGAATTGTCAGAGTAAAGACATCTGCTGTCTATATTCTGCAGATATGTTTTGGGGAAGCTATGTCTCATCCTCTTAAATAAAATACAAAAATATACAGGTATGTGCTTGACACATTTACAGTTTAGCTGCATTGGAACGAGGGAGAGAAAAATGTGTCACGACTGAGTGCTATCACAGGAAACAATCAAATATGTATTCTAGTATTCTAGTCAGCCTTTCCAAAAGGTCACACTTCTATCCCCCGGATTCAAATCTCAATGGAAAAAGCTTATCAAAGCAATTTTGCCCGGCAGTCTACCCAACCATACCAGACTGAAACAGACTATGTTAAAGGCTATCCCCCCTCCCCTCCCTTTGACCTATGGAAGAGTGGTGAGGTAGCACAATACAGTACTCCAAGTCAAGGCAGAAGCGTGAAAGGCTGACATGTCACTCTTACTGTTATAAGCTTCAGAGTAAAGTAAGTTGCTATGTCAAGAGCTAAACTGATACAGACAGAGCAGCTAAGGAGTATTACCAATGTCCATCTTTTCATGGCATTTGTGTGTTTAAACCCAGCTCAAAGTTCATAAGTTCAATGAGAACATGCTTTAAAGAAATCAAAAGCCTCAGGAAGGAGCTACAGGGTTGGAACTTATTACCTTGATACACACAAGTTAACTAAGCACTACTAGGCAGTTTCCCATGAATTCCCTTCAACTTGTGACTGAGCTGCAAGACTAGAACAGTCAGGGGTTGAATGCTTGCTCAAGGGTAGGGAGAGCATTACACACTCACTTTCCACATTCAGATTCACCAGCAGATATGGGGACTTAAGCTGGCTTTCCACTTATAAGCATCCTCGTTGCGCAGCCTGCCTGAGCTCCTGAAACTTCACCGTCAGGCTAATTTTTTACACGGATAATTAAACTGTTACATAAAAAAAAAACGATGATATTTTAAGCACATCAAGATTCAGACATATGCTGTCTCCCAGTAACATGTCAACAAAGATGATCTGTGTGTTACAAGTGCTCGCTTCCATTTTGCACAGCTTTCTAATTGAGGAATATGCATCGACTTTATATGCGCACATTCTGAGCCAAATTATGGTCTCCATAAACAGTTTATGGCCACACTTCACTGGGTGCACAAAGTTTATTATTAGCTGGCAGTTTGCTGGCTGGCAAGGAAGGAAAGAGGAGGAGAAAAAAATGCAAACACAAAACAGTCAAAGTGGGAATAGGAAGTTGACAGTCAGTCAGGGCAATTTATCATTCTGTCAAACTTCACTGACTGCTGCAGCAGAACTATCTACTTTATGAACCCCTACCCCCCCCCCCCCCCCCACCACCAACCCCAACATGGCTGATGTTGAAGAGAGAAGGGCCAGCGAATAAAACCTGCCATGTAGAAATGTTACAGCCATTTCACTTGCTTGGTTTCAAACTGTTATAGCAATTACTGCTGTCACATATAAGCAGCACAACTTTAGTGCTGTTCATGCAACAGTAGAATTACGATTTGTGGTAATTGGTACAATATGCTTTGCAAAACTTGTGGTTTGATACATTCATGACACAATGAATTTGTTGGAAAATTTACTGTGTAAATCGAATCTGTTATTCTATTATGATCCCCTTTATTGGTGAAATAACACAACAAACAGTGATATAAAACACAAAAAGAAAAAAAAAAAGATGACAAGACAGTGAAAGTTGTACAGGCATATAAAGTAATGGATGATTTAAGAATTGGTGATTTCTGTCATGAGAAGAAAGAGAAAGAAAAAAAAAGAAATTAGAAACTGTGTTTACCCTTAAGTGGTTATCATGAAAAATGTGTTTATATGAACACAAAAATATAGCCTTTAGACATACATGCAATATTCATGCACACATCAGAGTATCATAGTTAAGGCTGCCTTAACTACCGTTGTAGATTTAAAAAAAATAAAAATAAATCCAGCAGCTCCGGATGCTGTTGACAAACTTAGACATACAAACTCCATTACAGAGCGTTGTGTTGGGTTACTGGATGTAACTCCAGTTCTATGAGTGTGTGCGTAGCCCTTTAACAGGCTTCACTGTTGGTTTGGTAACAAATACTGTTATTTGAAATGATGTAGCTTTTTATATTACAGTCAGTTATATTCATATTTTTAAAAGAACTTCCTAAACTAAATCAAGATGGAGAATGTGTGTATTGTATTTAACTTTTCATGTTTGAAGGAAACACGTTGTGTGCATGTATGTTATGTATGTTACTGCAAAATGTGTAACAAGTGTGAGGTTTTTCTGCGTAAATCTTTAATGAAGAAAACAAGGTAAAACAAAATGGACACTGTTCAGGCCAAAAGCTGACAAACTTCAGTTGGCCTTTTAAAACTGACGTTTAAGGTTCATTTTTGAAATGGCTTTAAGATCACTTTTTTAAGATCACTTTCCCAAAAGGACTAGAGAATTACTTTTTTAATAATGGTAGTTCAAGTATAGTTCAGTTGGTTGTTGCAGGGCTACTCTCGTTCATAACTGGGGTAAATATTTCCATATCCTGACTGTGCACATTCAGGTGGCATGTGCACAGTTTAGAGCAGACTGCTCTGCATATCCAACAGTTTTAATGGAATTTCATCAATAGGTAATTAGCCTATTACAACCTTTGAGTTGTACCCCGTCCTTTAAACAAATCACCCTCACTATAATAACCAACTCGAAGATCCAATGGCAAATGGCTTCTTTTCTGATGTGCTAGGAAACAGTCTGTGATTGCATTTAGTCCCGGGCCCTTTCATTTGACCAGCGTATCATTTCTTCCCTGGCATACTTCAAAGTCCGGACACTTCAAAGTAGAATGACTGACTGCCACTCGGACTCTGAGGACGGCTCTTTTGATCATCTTCTGAAAACTCCCAGAACGCAATCAGGCCAACCACCAGAGAGGAGGATTTGACAGCCATAAGATAAATGCAGTCATCCTCACAGCTATCTGATAAGCCCAGCAGGCTCTAATCCATTAATATGAAAATGAGGGAGGACGAGAAGGGGCTGGGTGGGGGCCTTTTGCAGCAACAGTTAAATGCTGTGGAATGAGTTTTCAAAGGGAGGACTCAGTATTCAAAGAGCTTAATGATATAAGTCTTCTCTTTTTATCAGCCACCTAAATAAATTATATTGATAATACTAATAGATATTCTTCACAAGTGCACCTTAAATTATATTCTACAAATTACCATATCGGAGTTCTGTGTGAAGTGATGAGAGCTGTCATACTTTTAATAAAAAGTCTTCACTTCTTATTAGCATGTATCATTGCGCTATAGAGCAGAATAAGCTCCAGTGACACACGAATGTCCGCCTTGAGCAAGAAACATGATCCATGGACTATCGTTTGTTGTTTGTTAATGTTATAAAAGTAGCATTTCTAAATGGAAGTGTAGAAGAATGAAGTATGAAATAGCAACAGTTTGAGAAGATATCAATTTGTTTTGAATACTGATACGGTTATCTCCAAATTATGGATCATTTTCCAGGAAGGATATGTCATTTTTGTATTTGTGAAACTAACACTCTGTTGACATCCTGCTGTTGTTGTTTACAGTTAGCACTTAGCCGTCCAACTTTTAACAACCTGTGCAATCATAAAGGGAACATAGGCTACTCAAAAGAACGTCTACTGGGGAAAAAAATCAATGCACACAACTTAGATAGTATCATAAATATCCAAATGCAGCCATTTTTTAAAATTTGTGCAGCTATTTTAGTAATTCACGCAATATGTGGTTGCATTAGTTATCTCGTTAGTACATTAAAGGACACACCCAACATGCAACACATATCTAACATCTTTGGGTAAAAAAAAAAAAAATCAAAAAAATATTAAGAGTGCATTCCGATTCCTTCAAATGTCATTTCAAATTTGAAATGCAATATGTACTTAATAAAATAAAACAGATACAAAAATATCACGATAGGGAAGCCAAGGAAAGCTAGGAAGCATACAATATATGTAAGCAGTCAAGTCAAGCCCAGGGGAACATAAACAGCTAAGTCAATGTAAGAGCATCATCTCAAAGAAAGACTGAGTGGTTCATGGAAAAAGAACTAATAAGCTGCCATTACTTCTCCTTTGAATCGCACAGTATTAGATGGCAACAGCATTGTAGTAGCTCACACAGTATATCCATTATACTGCATGTTCACTTGAATGTATTATTACATATCTCCATTCCCCCTCCTCACCTTGTCACAAATCCATCCAACCTCATCCATCTCTTGCTCCATCCCCTCCCCCTTCATCTGCAACGTAACTACCAGTTCTCTCTGACACTCAGTCTCTCACCTATTGATCCTGTGCGTGCTCCCTCATTTCCTTTCTCTATTCATCCATCCCTCTGTCCAGCCATCCATTTGTCTGTTCATTAGCATAGGTTTGAGAGAGGTGAAGTGAACTCACCTAATGGGGTGATATGTCTCCAGGAAATGGTTGGCTCGGGTTTCCCGCTGGCTGTGCAGATGAGCGACACATTGCTGCCCTCGTTTACCGTGATGTCAGAGGATATGTCATATATCTTGGGAGGAACTGGAAAAGATATGAAACAAAAATCAGACACAAAATTAGCATTTCAAATCTGCAACCTCTAGGTTTCATCATGGTATTATTTGTAAAACATATTACATTGGCGGTAAAAGGAAGGCAGGGGCAATATCTTGACACAGTGTTCTAGTTTTGAGCCAGGAGATAAAGTATGTGCTATTTTTAAATGACCCCTAACGTTAGGTAAAATCATACCAAGCACCTTAGATTCAAGCACCATCATTCAGCCTTGCATGCAAGTCTTGTTAAATGCTCTCAGTAGGGGGGAACGTTTTGATCTCCCCCTTTCAAATCACTAGTTTCCAGCCACTCTGATGACATTTCAGCCAACACAGAACTGATGCAATCTTTAGGTAGTGTTGGATAAGCACATTCTAAAGAAGAAAAAAAAACTTTAAAACTACACATAACAAGCCATCTAAGTAATGGAAAGCCTGTTTTGATAGGGATTAAGACGCAAAGTGTTACAGATTTGGCACAAAAAAATAAAAAAATAAAAATGCTTTCAAAAAAACAAAACAAATATTTGTGACTTTTAAGTAGACAGATAGTTTGCTGATTAGGCTAGTGAATAGGCTAATTAGCTGTTGTAGTTTCAGTTAGAAAATCGTGCTGCAACCCGAGGTCAAATATTTTCACATTTTTACGGCTAAAAAACAACATCAACAGATGTACAAAATAACAGGGGAAAAAATAATAATTTGTACTGCGGCTGGATTGTGTTGGGTGTTAAGCTGCTAGCTAACGTAGCTTGCTAGCAAATGTTAGCCAGACAGTAAAGCCAGCCTTACAGTAAATGATATACTCAGGCATTAAAAAAAAACTGAGATCATCATATGATTGAATAATTTGTGTTCATTTCATAGACGCTTAGTTAAATATTCAATGAGCAGTGATTAAGCAGTCAACCGTAACTAGCTTTAATGTTTATTGATAAAGCTTGGCACAGTCAGTGAAGTTCCACACACAAAGGTTCGCAGTCGGCTCCGTCATTCATAAGAACAATAGAGGACCTTTTTAAATCACTAAGCAGAGATTGAGGTGTGGGCAGTGATTCATTTGTCTGGATCCAGTTTTGTGGCAAGGTATTCCGAAAAAGGCTTTTTATTTTATTTTTTTTAGAAAGAAAAGCAGCATTCTTGTTTCTATTGAGGGAAGCGCATCAACAGTCCCTGCTAGACATCACTTACAATCATAATTGACAAGTTTCTGGTCAATTATTCTCTTGGAGTTCTGATGGTAAAAGCTTCGGTATTTCTGCTTTCACATTCAGGAATGCATGCAGCAAACCACAAAGGTATTTAAGCACACTGGGCTAAGCACACATGTCGGCACATGAGCGCACGCACACACACATACAGGCTTATGAAACACTATTTTAATCAGCAAGATTTGAATCTCTGAGGGAGCTCTTCTGCAGTGGACTGTGCTATACAATAATGGCTTCTCAAGACGTCCGTGGCCTCAAACTATTCTGCCCTCTGATCCCTCCTGATGCCTGCTCAAAGAAGTAACAAAAGAAAAGTGGATTCAACAGTTTTCAGAGCTCCTCTTCAAACCCACCAACACTTTTTAGTCACATGGTGTCTTTTGTCATTCAGTACTGTCCAGTTTAGCTGCATCCACCCTCATTTTCTCCTCCTCACTCTGTAACGAGCAAATAATACAGGATTATGCCAAGAGCATGAGTGAATAATGACAGTATCACATATTGTTTGATTACTTCTAGATTGAATAAGAATCACCCTGTTGAACTTCTCAATTGTTTTTGACCAATTTAGTAAAGAAAGAGGAAACTATTTCCTGAGCTTTCAGATGCTCCACAATAAGAAACTTTTAATCGATCATCTATCTTCAACATTAATCCCATAAACCTTCTCTATAACCTGACTGCACTTGCGCTCTAACTGTATCATAAAAGCAAATTGCCTTCAGACAAATAAGATGGTGAATCATTCAAAGCATCAATACCCATATACAGTTACTGGATCCTGTATATCGCTCAAGGAATTAGAAGTCCATGATTCATAAATTGGACCAACCGACCTGCCCAGCACAACCCTCAATGATATACTGAACAAGAAAATATTCTGTTGTGTGGATGGATAGGAGTCTTTTTTAGATCAACAGATCTGAATGAGATGAGAGTGGCAGACCTTGGGCGGGAGAGGACCGGAGGCGATGTTGAATCTAGGTTATTGCTTGTCAGACTCCAGTGTTTACTTGCTGTAGGACCCCACTGTTGACACATCTCCTCAGTGTCTGATAGCACAAAATTGAAAATGTTGGGGTTGTCTACTGATCCTATCTCTCCCTGGCAGGGACTGAAAGGGTTTTTCAAAGGTTCAGATGAAGAGTCCTCGTTTTTTGTGTGGGGAAGGGGGTGGGGGGTTTAAGCTCACAGCTATAGTTGCCTAGCTGAATTACTGTATAAGAAAAAAGCAAGTAAGTTTGAGAAACAAGAGGAGAAGATCAATAGTTAACAGTCAAACTTTGATCTGAAAAGTACAGAAATGTATTCACTGGATGAAAAAACCTTCACTTTGTTCCATACCTTCAGACACTGTTGTAATCAGAAACCACAAAACCTGAGGCATGAATTGCATCCAAACTTTCTCTGGATATAAGGTAAGACAGTGGATATGATAGAGCCATTTAGAAGGATATGTCAATTTCAAAATTACGTCCAGATTAAGAAATTCCAACAACAAGTGTATTTTCTATTTGATCAACTTTTTGTTCACTAAAAGGTTTCGAAGTTAGGCAACGTTAAAACTATCAGCCATGGTGCAAAATAATGTTGACTAAATATAAATGTAGTGCTCTCTGTTGAATAGCAGCATTTATTATTATGCAGGGGACAGTCAAAGTGAAGGAGAGACTTCACACACAGCTAATGTATAAAATCAAATCCTGCCATCTGTTGTTCCTCGTTAAAAAAGAAGAAGCCTAAACATGCTCCTATATATAAATGGGGGTCTCGTTGCTAGGTTACAGTGCTGACAATTGCAGGCATTGTTGCTGAAGAGCCAGAATATGGACACTTGATACTGAATGCTTTGAGGGGTTTCCATATGACAAACAGAAATTTCTATATCTATTTGAAATTCCACAAACCTCAAAGTTAGTTTGTTTTGGCTCTAAATCATGGAAATAACGACTGTGAAATTTCATACTGAATTATAAGTGTTGAATTAATAAAAGAATATGTTTTTATCAGCAAGTGGTAGTGCAAGCAGCTCTGTTCAGTTCCGTTTACAGACTATCAGTACCATCAAAAGGCCCCACAGTATGAAGGTCAAACTTAATCCTGGTTCTCTTGTAACTTTCTCAAACTTAATAGCAATAAAACAGAGATTTGTTGGTTCCAAATCCCCTCTAGCCAAATCTGACAGTTTCTCACTCACCATCGACAACTGCATAGTTCCTCTCTCCCCAAGTCAAGAGTCTGGGTGTCTTACTCGACAGCACACTATCCTTTGAAGCGCACATCTACTGTATAACGTTAATCGGTCTGCGTTATCCACTTAGGCAATATCAATCGTCTCTGCCAGTCTCTTACACCAAACAGCACCGTCATCCTTGACAATGCCCTGGTTACCTCGCGTATTGATTGTCTGTAACTCTCTCCTCTCTGGTCTTCCTCACAAGCTCCATAAACTTCATCTGGTCCAGAACTCAGTTTCCCCCGATCATCACCAGAGCCCCCTGTCCTCCAACCACTTCACTGGCTGCCTGTCAAGTATCAAACACTGACTTTAAGATTCTCCTTCTCACCTCTGTACCTCTCTGATCTCCTTCATACCTAGACATCTACCTGTACTCTCCGATCTTCCTCCTTCATGCCTCCATGCTCCTCGTTCCTCCTGTCCACTTAGCTTTTATGGGGTCTCGAGCTTTAAATTGTGCAGACCCCGGTCTCTGGAACGCTCTCCTACCAGCCATCCGTGACATCGACTCTCTACTTTTAAATCCCATCTCAAAACTTATCGTTAAGAATTTCTTATTCATTGTAATTTTGCCTTTTTCTGCTTTTAACTGTGTAGTGTGTATGCCTTTTATTGAGAATTTTTACCGTTTAATGCATTTTTTTTTATTGAGGACATGATATTGTGCGGATTTCATTGTATTTGTACACTTTTCTATTCTTCTAATTATTATAAAGAACCTTGTAGTTTGGATAATGGGGGTAAAATGTGGCTCTACAACTTGACAGCATTAAAGCCATTTCACACCAGTGTGGTACAGAATGCATTGTTAATATGTGAAAGATGTGCAAATACAATTACAGCATTGAACCTTTGGTTTCACCTCCTCTGATCATTTAGTGCATTTTTGTATTGCATTTAGCACACAAAGAGAGACAACTTAAAGACATAAAAGGGACATACTTTACAGGTAGCATTGGCATTTCATGGATATTGAGGAAATTAAAGTCCCACAATTGAGAAGGTAGAAGAGGGTGGGCGGTAGACCAGTATCAAGACCGGCACCTGTATTGCTTTCTGGCAGGACATGGATTATTGCCATAACGTCATCGCTAGTTTAAACATACTGCTTTTGTTGTAGTGCACAAAAAAGGCAACCCTTCAATCTACCAGCCACATTTGCGGTTAAATAAAAGTAACGGCACCGATTGTGCCGCCAACCTTCTGCATGACAAAGCCAGAGTCTCAGCACAGAGTCTCAGGAGTCAGATTTCATGTCATAATAATGTTGAGAAGAGTCGACTTAAAGTCAAGTTAAGAGGCAGTTGATCTGTAAGTCCATGGCAGAGGAAACTCTGTCTAGTTTTGCTCTACAGCTAATGACAGTCATTTATAAAGTGTGATCCCAAACACTAATGTTGTCAAAGGTTTAAAGAATGTTTTGGCAACCATGGTCAGGGAAAATACCTTTTAGCAAAGTTACGGTTCATTTAAAGTGACTGAAAGCAGCTGCTTGTTACGACTAGATTATGTGTGAGATAGTGGGCATGTCTGAGT